TCAAATGAAGACAGAAACCCCTTTGAGATAGCCTAACGGCAGTTAATAGCCTGAGATCAGCCGCGGTTTGGACCTCAGAAGAGAATAATTTGCTTTCTGTATTTTGATCAGTCCTGCCTGAGCCGGCCACCTGTGTTACACGGCCACTTTTCTCCTTGACAATGGGTGGCCGTTTTACACAGGTTTGATTGTACTTTCTTCTGTCATCATTAGGTATGCCAAAAGTAGGGACTACTTTTTTCTAGCTGCACTAGGTATGCCAGATACTCTGTTTTAATGACACATCGCGGAACTACTTACTTCTATCATCACTAGGTATGATGGACAGACTTTTATAAAGACACTGTGTTTGGTATTCTATTGTCTCTAGGTACTCGCACAGCAAAATCTATTTTCCAATTCCGTGAACGAAGATGTATTCTTGTGCAGCACGTTTTTGTTGCAACAGGTGAAATGGATCATTCTGACATTTTCACAATTGCATAGTTTATACATTTTTTTGTCCTGTACCTACTAAAAACATTACGCTGATCCTATATGTTGCTATCAACTTATTGAAGTTTTCTTCATTACATAATATTTGATTTTTACGCAACAGGCCTTTGAATTTGGTCTTTTGTTTTGAAGCAAGCAAAAATTGTTTATTTAAAAGCCGTTTTCGACAATTTTTTTTCATTTATGAAAGTTTTTGCGTTGTGTTTAATAGAGACATTTGTAAAAGTTATTTATGTTATGAATATATAAATATTTCTCAAAGTTTTGTGTTGTGTGTATAGAAACGTTTGTGAAAGTTTTTGTGTTGTACGTATTGAGAGGGGGCCTCTCGTGGCCTAGAGGTTAAGGTGCTCGCCTCTCATTCAAAGGTCCCGCGTTCGAATCCGGGTAGTGACAGAAATTTTTTTTTTCTAAAACTGTCCTCTGCTTTCGTCTCCACTCTCAGTGTCTCAGCCCCTTTGCCTCCTCCTCAGGGCTCCTGGCTCTTTCTGCAGCCTTTCTACTGCTACTCCTTGGCTCCTTTTTACTGCTGTCTTTCAGCCACACCCCTGATCTTATGGTAGGAAAGGTCTACACCTAGCCTTCTCGGACAATGACGGAAAACCTTGGAGGTCCTGTGTGCAAGTTGCGCATGTTAAAGATCCCTTGGTGGTCTAAAATCAATAAGAGTAGGCTTCGACCACCACCCGAGCAAAATTCAAAATTTCCTACCGACTGAGAATGTTTACCGTGTCCCGCGCACTCATAGGACCTTATGCAGTTGCGAGCGCCATAAAACACTTTCCAAAAAAACCCAAACACATTGAGATATTTGTGAGAGTTTTTGGGATAAGCACTGAAAGCGAATTTCTCGCACTTCACCGAGGTGGGAGTTGGTACCCGGCTATAGACAGTGAGAGATCTTGCCAATTTGCTTGTGTTTGAGTGCTTAAGCGGCAGCTTGCACTGTATGCTTCCCGGGAAGGGGAGAATGTTTTTCAATGTTGTAGGGTCTGCTAGGGTAGTAATGGTTGAAAAGCGCATAGAGCTTGCTGTAGAGTATGGATATCCACTATATAAATATAATTATGATTATTATTGTAATTTAGAGGTGTTTGTGAAAGTTTTTGCGTTGTGTATTTTTAACTGTTTTTTTTTTTTTCTGAGAGTTTTTGTCTTCCTGTCCCCAGCACCTTCATTGTTGAACAGCAGCCGCCGCAGGTGTTGAAAAAAGACGCGCGCTTTGGGGCTGTGGTTCGACTCTTAGTAGGGGGCAAGCTAAACGTACACATGAACCCACCAACTGTCAAAGCCACCATCATCAGGTCAGTTGTGTGTGTGTGTGTGTGTGAGGTGGGAGGGGGAGGTGTGGGTGTAAAAAGTACACATGAACGCCCCCGACTGTCAAATTGTCAAAACCACCCTCATCATATCATGTCAGCTGTGTGTTTTTGTGGAGGGAGGGGGGGGAGGGCATGCATACTGAACGTATACATGAACCGACCAACTGTCAAAGCCACCGTCTTCGGGTCAGTTGTGTGTGTAAGTGTGCTCTCTTTCTATATATATATGTGTGTGTGTGTAAGTTTGTGTTGGTGTGTGGGGGGGGGGTGTAGGGTGGACAAGACGAGAACAGAATATATATAGAATGAACAATTCTTTGTGCAATTTACTTGGGCTTTGTATGTATAGACATTATAAGTAGCTTTTGTACGATTAATTTTGTATTTTGTGATTATAGAAAGATAACTTGTATATGATTAATTTTGTATTGTGAGAAAATTATCTAAAGATAATAATAAATCACTCTGGTAAGATTTGCAAAGCCTTTAAGGGACATTTGAAAACGTTATTGTATGAACTGATTAAGAGAGATTGAATCCTTTGTTCATTCAAAAGTCAGCTAAAGTCATTTGTCCCCCGCACCCCAGGGCAGTGCTACTGAATGAAGTGCCTTTAGACCATTCCCAAAGGGGGGATATTAACATGTTCTTATGCACAGTAGAATTGTAATTGGGCTGATTTATCAATGTCATGCTCATACTGTGCCGGAACAACATAGGGGGAACTGCTGCTTTTTCTTTCCTCATCCTTATGAATGTCATTTTCCTCTACTTCTTTTGTATGTTTGTCACTCTCTTGTGAACTTCTATTTCCGGGGTGCCTCAATAGTCGAAGCAGACTTTGTGCTGTTGAGGCTAGAGAGGTGAGCAGTGTAAGTTGATTCTCCGTTTGGACTCTCTGTTGACATTCATCCCTTGGCACTCTTATGACCTTATGCAGTTGCGAGCGCCATAAAACCTTACTAAAACTAAACTTTTAAAAAAGTCATTAATTTTTTTAAAGCGATATATTGATATATACAGGCATTTTTTGTCAGAACATACTGTACCATTTATGTTTTGCTGCTTGTATTTGCAAAGCGCTCTGAGCCTGTGCTCTTTAATGGGGCTTAGCACTTTTTAAATGTCACATAATAAATGTCATGTCATATATTAGTATTATCATTATTATTTACATTAATTTTTATTTTTTTTATCAGCATTATTAACATTATTATTATTACTAGTAATATTGTAGCATTATTATTTCTATTATTATTATTATTACATTATTATTTTTCTATCAGCATTATTAACATTATTATTATTACTAGTAATATTGTAGCATTATTATTTCTATTATTATTATTATTACATTATTATTTTTCTATCAGCATTATTAACATTATTATTACTAATAATATTGTAGTATTAGTATTACACTAGCTGGGCCCCCTTTTGATAAAAAGGAATGATCGGTGCATTAACATCAACTGAAAGTCGTTGGCCTACTATATTTACACTCTGCTGGAATGGAGCAATAAATCTTGAGATATGCAAAAAATTAGAAAGTCTAGAGTCTAGATCTATAATCTCATAACAAAATGCGCCTCGTGAAATATCACTTCCGGCACTTCCGTTGCGAAAGACAGCTAGGCAGATTTGTTTCGTTTCTCAGTGGAATAATCATAAAGGCCAAAGAAGGACAGGAACTTTTTGTAAAATATATTTTTCAGAATTCAGGAAATGAATTAGTAAAAAATCGGGCTCCTTCACGGAGACCTATCTGTCTTTTTACAGGTACTTGCCAACTTTCAACTCTGTAGCTGTCGTAGTATAATGGGAAAAGTGACACATGCGTTTCCAAGTTGCCAAATATATAATACTTGTATAGATTGATTCTCTATTCTGTTTTCGTGGTTGTACACTCCTTGATTTCAAAGCTGTGGATCAGTGCGCTCGGCTAGTGAACAGAAACCTCACTTGTTTACAATGGTGTCTTAGAAGATGGACTTTCCCAAGATTAGATCTAAACGAAACTAATGAAAAACTGAAAATTAAACTACAGTGACTTCAGGCTCCTCAATAAACATATGCACCCTTTAAATGATTCTGCACCACCGTTCATTTTGTCAAATTCAAAAGTTAAGCAGTTTGGAAGTTTTAGGCGGCCGAAGTGAGGAACTTTCATAAATATAATATTTATAGAGATTGTTATTTTTATTTATTATTTTTAAAAATCAAACTCTCTTTTGATCCTTCCTGTTTAGTGAGAATCAGGCGAAGGATTTACTCCGCAATGACCTGAAGGCCAAGAACGACACAAGCGGTGACATACTCAACAACACAGGGAACATGGAATACCAACAAAACACAGGCCAGCTCAGTGTTAGCTTCAAGAATATGGTGAGTAGTACACCCCTGCAGGCACACACACCCACGCACGCACACGTACACGCACTCACCGAGAACATGGAGTACCAATATAACAAAGGCCAGCTCAGCATTAGCTTCAAGAATATGGTGAGTGGTACACACACACATGTGCATGCGCGTGCTGGTGCTCACACACACACACACACTCACAAATATACACACATAGAGACACACTTACACACAGTAGAATATTAATATTATTATTATCATTATTGCTATTCTTATTATTATCCTTATCAATATTTTATTATTTTTGTTTTTCAGCAATTGAAAAAGATCAGGCGAGCAGACAAGAAAGGCTCAGAGGTAAGTAGACAGACTTTGTTTTTGCTTATTTCCTTCTATGAATTGTGTTTTGTGGCTTGCATTATACAGACACGCAGGCATACACCTACATACACAGACCCTAACACGACCCCCCCCCCCCGGACATTTGAAAACGTCATTGTATGAACTGATTAAGAGAGATTGAATCCTT